TCGCTTTCACACATTTCTTCCCTCAAACAGCTGACGATGGCAGTTGGGATCCATAGAGGAGGGGGCTGCTGGTACCTGTCTTCCTCCCTTACTGATGTCAGTGGTGGTCCTGACCTTAGCAAAAGAGCAGCATCTGCATGGAACCACATGCCCCCCGCCCCCCGGATTGGAGAGGAGTAGAACAGATAACAGTATCTAGGCCAGGATTGTGGTTCCTGCTGCCCCTCAGATGGCTAGAATATTATCTGGGGACAATCCATCCGCTTGCCAGTGCCAGCACTGATACCAGAGACAGGCTTGGACATTGGTCTTGTTAACCAGACTTAAGAACTGCAAGACTCACTTGCTCGGAAGTAAACTGCAGTAGGAGTTACTTCTGGGGAAGCATTAGTAACCTGGAGCTGTGAAGAATTTGTTCAAGCTACGATGCAAGTCAGAATGGATTGCTTGCAGTGGGCTTTTGAAATTAGCCTGAGGACCACAGGTTGCCCACCCCTGCTCAATTTGTCAAATATTATCCTGTGACAAAGATGTACGCATGTACATCCTTAAGCAGTGGTGTCAAATTCCTGTGATCCTTTCACCTAGAAAGAATGAAATTTGGCTCATACACATATATACCCATGGTGTACATTCTGCTGAAAGTTTATGTGAACAGGCTCAAGATCTCCAGCTCTCCTTTGGGATTTCCTATTCCCCAGTAAATAAAATGCTGTAATCAGTTCTTCACTAGGAAAAGTTTTGTTGTGACACGCTTAATATCATTCCAGTTGCTCTTCACTCCCATTCATGAGGCTACCCAGTTCATCTTGCAGGAGTCTTGCAAAAGTTCCTGTGTCTTCCTAGTAATAATTCCTCTTAAAAGCATGATGACAGACTTCGCGGTACTTTTACTTCTCACTTTGACATCACCAGAAGAATAAAATCCTCAATAAAATGGATGTCTAGAAATAATCTTTAAGGGATTCTGCCCTCTTTTTGTCTCCACAGTAGAAGTGTGGGAAGCAGCAGCCTCAGACAACAGATGTTGGAGGCAGCTGTGGTAGCCCCCCCCCCCACCTTTCCTCCTGAACCATCCCCCTGGGCTATGCCCCCTCTTAGAAGGCAACTAGTCTTGCACCCAGTAAACTAGTTGCTGCATTTCCTTGTGATGTTAGAAGCTGCCTTGTTGCCAGTGCTAAAGCTACACTCAACTGGCACTTCAGTGTGAGAAGGCAACTATGCAGCACAAGGTTCTCTCTGGAACTGAAAATGCCAGTTATTAAAGCAGGGTGTAGAATCTCAGGCTCACAGACTAAATCCAGCCACACTGGGGGTCCCTCGGTGACCGCACCCCCAGAGAGTCTCTCCGAACTTGGACTGGCCCTCAGGCTGAAGGAAGTTCCTAACGCATGTATTAGAGAGAATCCGGCTGACGTTGCTGTCCAGCTGCTGCGTTTCCAGTTTTTTCCCTATTGACTCCTTCACCTTTCTAAGATCTGGTTTCTGGCCATTTTTCTGATTTTCCACACAATTATGGCCACAGCTGTTTATACCTGGATGGATCTTTTCCTGCCCTGATGCAATCCCTCAAGGTTGCTTTTTGAATGGACATGAATGAGGAACTTTTTCCTGATGCAAATAGCAGCTTCACAGGGGCAATTTTCATCAGAACTACATGAGTATAGACTATAGGCAAATACCCCCATCCCTGCAGGCAATGGTCTAGTTATGTGCTCCTTTCCTTCAAACTGCTGTTTGCATAACAAACAAAAATGTGCTTTGAGTGAAGATCATATCTAGTTCAACCCTTTGCCTGCCATATAATCATTCTGCACCGATCAAAGACTGCAGGCCAAAGGTCTTTGGCAGGAATATCCCAAAGCACATAGGATGTTTCAAAAATCCCCCTCTAGAATGGAGAGAAGAAAGGAAAACGCCTCTCCTTGCTCTCTTCTGCCTTGCTGGTATGAGCCAAGCACAGCCTCCAGTCAGGCATCCCCCACCACCACCGCCTTCAGGTCTCCCACCCACTGGTAGGATTACTCTTTTACAGCACCTGCACATTTTCAGTTTAGGAAAAAGTAAAGAAATAACTTTAAGTGTCAAATTCAATTCCAAATCAATTAGATCAACATTTTCCTTGTCACACTTTTTTTTAAGAGAAACGGTTTTGCTTTGGGCTCACGGGTAAGGTCCACAAACCAAACCTGGCCCAGCCAGAAGCCAAATCTGGCTCTCTGGAGTCCCCCTGTGGCCCTGCCCCCTTTCCTCTACCCACCTTTTGTCGGGTAGTTTCTCGGCTTTTGCATGCATTTTTCTCCCATTATAGAAGGCTGGAATGTCTCTCCTAGGCTTGGGTACTGGCAATAGAGCTTGCCCAAACCCATGTCAAAGCTGTTCCAATTGTTCACCATCAGTACCGTTTCTCAGGAATGTAATCATGTCCTACCTTGTTTTGTATAGCACACTAAAATGCCTTTAAATTATTTTTGTAACATAAATACTGCTCAGTCATCTGATTTGCCTCAAAAATAAACTGATTCTTTTTTTAAAAAAAAATTCTGGTTAAGCCTACTGCTACATACCTGGGCTAGTTCTTTTAACAGTATGTACTAGAAGACATGAGCAATTAGATCGGAAAGTAAAGCGACTGAAAATGCAGTACCAAGCCTTTTCTACTGAACCTACTAGAACTATTCCAGCTAACGATTTTAGCCATTGCTACTTTTGTCTACAGTTAGAATCAGAAGATAGGTTTGTCAAGAAGCAAATAAAGCAGAAGATGTAGAAGTGAGTTAAAACCACAGATAATGATCATAAGAATAGTCACAATTATTACTATGGTTAGGGTAATTTGCCAGACCCTGTGGATTCTGTTTTAATCAAGTAATTAAAACATATTTATCTCAACTGAATCACACTCTAGAGCCAGATCGAAACAGTAAAAGGAAGGCATTTTTCGGCTGTACCCAACACTGATCTAAGGCACATATTCTGAGGAATTTGTCACTCTTTCCAGCAACAGATTCAAGTGCTGAGTGCTAACAGAAATGGAGGTTAAACAGGCCTACTCACAAAAGGGGAAACCTTAGGTTTGCAAAGTACCCTGCCACAAAAAGCCAACCAAGGGAAGTAAATCCTCCAGGAAAACTGCCCTATGGGGACCAAGTTTGCTCAGTAGCTCCTGAATCTTAGGTGCTAGTTGGAAAAGATAAAAGAAAAACTGAGGCAGGGATGCATTTCAGGTCCCATTTATAAATAGACTTCTGGATATTTCATTTGTCCTTTTTTGGTTAGCCATGCCTATCCTGCCAGCCATTTTGTGCTGCTTCCCAGGACAGTTTCTCAAATTGCTAAATGCCTGCACAGGTCCAAAAGAGATAGAGACCTTGTTGTAGTGGCTAGCAGCCTGAACTGTAAACCAGAAGGTTCCCCATTTGAATCTCATCTCTTTCACAGTTGTTCTGGCCTGTGAGGTTCTCTTAGGCAAGATATTTCCTTCCTAAGTTGAAGCTAATAGGTTAAAGGAAGGACGCTTTGACTACTGTCACCCTTGTGGAACAGCTTCAAAAGCAATATTCATTATATTGCTATATCCATTAAGTGAATGAGGGTTAAGAGTAGGGTTAGAGTTTAGGATTATAATGGGAGATATAAGGGCCCTCATAAAACACAATGGGTGACCTTGGACCAGTTGCACGCTCTCAGCCTAACCTATCTCACAGGGCTGGTATGAGGCTAAAAGGGGGAAAAGGAAGAACATAGTACAAACATAACAAAACATCCAGTTATTCTTTTGCTTCTGTTCAACTTTTTAATTGCAAAAACAAAACGATACTGTATTCTTGTCCCAATTGCTTTTCAAATGTTTCAGCTAAGCAGTTTTCCCTCCAAGTCTTCTCACTCTCCAGATTTTAAGAAATGAATTAGGGCTTGGCTTGGTGTGAGGTGGGGGGAGACTCCCTTCTTCTTTCCTTAAGGAAAAAACAAAATAAAACTTCCAGTCCAACTGGAAGAGAGACCAGGTACGTAGCTGGCATGATGTGCCAGCTAAAATCCTGTATAGCGACTTTTTCAAGAAGTTATAAACACCAAACACACACACACACATACACACACAGGACCTAGTAAGCTTGGTATGGTTCCCAGCGTACAGAGTAAACAGCAGGTATGCAGTGTCTGCTGATTTCAGCTCTCCCAGCATGCAACAACACAACCCACTCCTGATACATCCAGACATCAATGTTTATACACAAAGGGCAGGCAGCTCCTGGATGCTGTATCTGATTCTTTCTTTCTTTTTTGGAGGGGGTATGTAAATACAAATGTGCATGGCTTTAACAATGCTTAAGGGTCTTAACAGTGTGTATGGAAAAGAAAACCACAGGGAAAGCCTGAAAAGGAAAAGCTGGGAATTCAATTGTAGAAGTCACAATTGAGCAAAAAACAGTTTGAGGGGAGGTCCTGAAAGATTATAAACAAATTACAGTGTAAAAGAACAACAAAACCCATTATAAGTAGGCAATGGGGACGTCATCACTTGAATCAGGTTGGCATGCGTTTTTTTCCCTTTCCCTCACTCTTTCCAAAAGTGAAATACTAGCATAGTAAGTTAAGACATAATTTCCCTTCATAAAGTAGTAAAGTGATGAAGAACAGTTAAGGAGCTTTCTTCTTTAAGACTGCCCTCATCCAGCAGTCGCATAAATTTCTAGAACTTGACTCTACTTGTTTCTAAGACAAAACAGTTCAAGTGTAAATATGGTGTAAACAAAGTGTCCATCCAACCTGAGTCTCTGGACTGTAGTCAAGCAACGAAGCGATGCACGGCCTTGATGCCAACAGGAGCTTGTTAGGATTCAAGGGAGAATTTTCTTCTCTCCCTTCACCCTTCAGCAATGGTTCCCTTTGCACAGATGCAGCCTGGTTTCCCCTCTGTGTGTGTGTGTGTGTGTGTGTGTGTGTGTGTGTGTGTGTGTGTGCGCGCGCGCGCGAGAGAGAGAGAGAGAGAGGGAGGGAGGGAGGGAGGGAGGGAGGGAGGGAGAGATCCTTGCAAACTTACTAGGAAAACTTCTGTTTGTGTTTAAAGAGGAGATAAACCAATAAAATGCAAAGATGGATAATCAAGCAACACTATGATCTGGCTTCTCGTCTAGTCCTCTAAGACCACGATCTCTACATTATGGACCTGATGCTGGTGTTCATCAACCTCGGCTACCACCTTCTCCTCAGTCCTCAGCTCTGTCCCCAGAATCACTGCTTTGGCCCCCGATTCTTCTGTCTCAGCTTCTGGGTCAGGGGCTGGGTCTATTTCTATAATAGTCTGTCCATCCTCTGAAGTGCCCTCGACAGCCTGGATGGTTGAGGTCAGGCCAGACTCCATGGCCACCAGTTCCACAGGATTCACGACAGTGGCCACGTTGGCAAGGGTGCCACTGTCCTGCATGGCTGCTGAACTCAGCAGGGCCAGGCTAGAAGAAGGATGAAGCGTCACTGTGTCAGAGGAGCTGGTCTTGGAGGAAGAAACCACAGTGGCATACCGGAAGAGCTGTGAGCCTGACGGCAGGGTATGGACAGTCACTGGGCTAGAGCCCTGGCTGATGGTAGCCACTGGAATGTTGCTAACAGAGAACTGCTGCCCCATGGGTGCAATGGTGATAGGAGAAATGACAGTGAACTGAGGCTGCTGGATGGGGGCTGAGGAGCTGAGGACCGTGGCAGAGGCTGGGCGCTGCAGCCGGGGCCTCTTAGGAGGCTTTGGATTGCTGACAGGCATCAGAACCACATTCTGGACAGTCTGAGCTTTTATCTTTTGATCCCTGGCAAGTTTCTTCTGCTCCTCCAGCTGACGGTCCAGGTCTGCAAGGAGAACGCGATACATGTTGAGACAGCTTTGGAAGCAGACATAGGTATCGCCCAAAAGAAAGCTGGAGCAATAGATACAAAGGTAACAAAGCAGCTTCATGCCAAAGGAATAATGTTCAGCTATGTCCCCGACTGTCAAAATGATGGAATGGGGGGCAGGTGGAACAGACAACGTGAATACTTTCAAGAAAACAAAAAAAAGGAAAAGGGTAAAGAGCGAGGAAAACATGGAAGTATCCCCCCGCAAATAATGCCCTCCCCTGAAGCTAGAGACAACAGAACCTATTAATATGAACTATATTATTAAAATGAAAGCTGTGTAATTTATATTATTAAACTATAACTATCCAGATGTATAACATACTTAAACCATCAAAAATATTCCCAAATCTATAACTCTGTAGAAGGATCAACAGTTCACGCCTCCTGGGAAAAGACGAAAATCAATAAACACAATAATACTAACAAATACTAATTTATGGTAACTCTAATAGCCATAAATTTTACAACTCATTGTATGTAATAGTATCAAAGAAGATCTCTCTCTTTGCCCTCCCCCCCTCCCCCTCTCTCCCCCCCTCCCCCTCTCTCCCCCCACATGAACACGCAATGCCAAAACACATGAGACAAAGGAGATACAGCGGAACCTCGGTTCACGACCAAATCGGATCGCGAACAGAAATTTCATAAAAATTTTGCCACAGGTCACGAACTCTGCATCAGGAGACAATCACGAGCCCGCCCACCTTCCCAGCACAGGCGTGATCATGTCGTGCTGGCGGGGGGGGGGGGGGGGGGGGGGGGGGGTTCTTGGGGGGGGGGGGAGATGGCCACAATTGCACCCGTGTTCGCTGCCCGAGCGCACCCACGCACGTGCCCGCCTCCCCCACAGCGCACCCGCAATTGCGACTGCACCCGTCTCCCCCCGTCCCTCCACGCGATCGCTTGCGGGGTGGACATGGTCACGACCTTTGTTGTCCTTTGTCACTTTGCTTCACATTTTTCTGATTAAAAAATAGTTACAGAATGGATTGACCTTATTTACATTGAACCTTATGGGGAAATTTGACTTGGCTCACAACCAATTTGGGTCACAACCAGAGTCCTGGAATGGATTAAGTTCGTGAGCCAAGACACCACTGTAAATGTTTGCATAGATGCTTAACTTAGGGCCAAACTAGTCACTGACTACAGGAATGCAATTAAAAAATATAAAGAGTACATGGGAAGTGGCAGGAAACTGAGCTGTGTTTCCTCAACAGGAGGGCAATCTTGAGAAAGATGAATAGATTGTGCATAGGAAAATGAGAAATAAATGTGTATTACTTACAGAAGGTACCCATGGGTTTATACAAGCTTTCTCCAACCAGATATTCTCAAAATAGTTCAATCTTCGACTCCTCTTAACCCAGCCAGCATGGCCAATCGCCAAGAAGGCTAGGAGATATAGTCCAAAACATCCAGAGAGCATCAGGCCGACATTGCAAAGGCTGGTTTAGAATGTCCCAAGCAGTCCTGAACATACCTGCCAGAGTATAGAGGAACTGCTCTTCTCCCTGATCCGTCTGGCTCTTTCTGTTGTCCAGCACTCTCTTGACTGTGTCCATCAGGCCAAATGTATGAGCAACATTGTTCAGGACAGCTGCATCTACAGGAAAACTTTAATGGATTATTGTCTAATATTCTTAAAACGGCTCCAACATCCATACAAAAAAGAGCCTGAACAGAATTCTATTTGGTGCAGGCCCATCTAATGCTACTGCCGTTTTCCCATGTTATCTTGACTATACTGAAAGGCACTTAATGACAAAGTTAATAAAAACAGAATTGTCATGGCTGCCTACATGAAACTGGGGGTTATGGTTTGTAAATTCACTAAATGACCACAATTAACTTTGCAAAAGCTACTGAAACTGAGACTCCTAAGCTCCTACCCACCAGTAATCTGGAAGGGTGACTGGCCAAGCCTCTGCTGAACGCCTCTCAGCACTTCTTCTATCTCCTTCTGAATGTTGCAGACAACTTCTTCCATCAACCCCACATCAGCAATTCCTTTCCAGAACATTAGTGTGTCCTCTAGCCCAAGAAAAAGAGACAGACTAAGGAAGAAGAAACAGTTCGACAATAGCACTGCAAAGCTATACTAGTAATCTTGCAAAATCCAGCGAACCATTCTATCTTTGGAAACAGACTACTAATGAAGTAATGCTGAACATATTTACCCAGGAATCAGTAACACTGACCACAATGGGGCTTACTTCTGAGTAGCCATGTACAGGATTCTAAATCAACCATCAGAGGAATCCTGTCTTGCAAAAATCCAGCTTGACCCTGAAAGTGGAAGGCAGTAGAAGGAAATTCCCGATTGCTGTGAAAGATGCGTATCACAATCTCTGAAAGTCTATTATGTTTCTTCCACATGATCACTGCAGAAGAGCCCCAGTTGGATTATATATTGGAGGCAAATCTTTTTATTTGATTACATTTTATTAATATTTAATTACATATGTTTCACATGAAATTCACATATATTTGATCATTCATCTTTCATTAGCTGCAAACACTATGTTGGCAAAACATAGAAAAATCAGTAACTAGACCAAATCTCAGAAAATGGTTTAAGGCACTAGAATTGGTTTCACATGGAAAAACAGATAAATATTCTTCAAACAGATCTTTTCTTAAAATGGAATCCCTTCATTAGTTCCCCACTTAAAGTTATTTGACTTTTGCATTTGGGTTGTGTTTCCTTTTGGCTCTTGACAAGAGTAGCAGTTCAGTTAGCCACACTACCAGAACCAACTGGGGAATGGACATTTTATCTCTTTGTATCAGCGGCATCACACACTTCCTTCATCAGTCATAAACCTTTTCTTATGTTTGTTCCCTGCTCAGTCTCATGTCAGACAGGAAAGGAGTATATGAGTATTTAAAATTAATCAATGAACCTGCTTACACGGAAGGGCAATCAATGGCTTAAATTATAGGCTGTTGACTTAAACCTTTGTATAGCTGCCAGATGATCAAACAGATAATGGGTTTCATTTTCCAATTTGTGGGTTGTTTTGCTCAATCTTCTTCACTGACTCCCAGCCTGTAGCCCAGAAGGCTTTGCGACACCAAAGAGCAAAACATTGCTGACCAGTCTTCATCACATAAGCACACTTTTCCCTACTGGTCCACTTTGCCCAATGAACATGTAATAATCTTCACCAGCTCTCTAGAACACTCCTACTGTCCAGCTCAAACACACACACACTTTCCCTAGAGGCCCATGTAACCTTGCTTTGAAGAAAGAAAACATTCCTTAGCAGCTGCCTTAGCGTTCTCTGGAAGGAGCCACCAGTTGTGGCTGTGCTTGCAGGCACCTGTCAAGCCTCTATAAACCCCATACTCTCCTGTCTCCCAAATTGGGAAGCCATCCTTGCTGGGCTATCACAGAAGGCTGTTGCATGCTCAGTCCTCAGACGTTTTCTTCCCACCATCTCCCATCAAGTTGGAGCAACTCTGACTATCAGTGGGCGATGCCTAACGCCTGGCTGTTGTGACACTGATGCTGCCGCCAATGCTGCGATATCCCTCTTGTCCATTAGGATTGTAGCCGGCCTGTCAGAATGGCATGTGCTCCGCTCACCACCCAGATGCTTGTTGTGAGCAGTAATCTCTTTGAACATCTTCAGTCTGTGCAACTCTTCCTTGAACTGTGCAGGAGTACAAGCAAAACCTCACGCTGGCATCTGTTCAGAAAACCATGCAAACTCCAGGGACTGCTGCACTTCTGGACTGATCCAGAGACCAATTCATGTAGCTAATTCAGCACAGCTCCAGTATGCTCTAACTTTTCCAGGTTCTATAGGCGTGTGGTACCTGAAGGGCAGTGATGCTTGTGAGATGGTGCCACCAGTGGAGTAAAGCGAGGCACAGTTCTCCTTCCTCTGTTCTGGACTGTGGTGAGCATGGAGCTCTGCCAGTCATGCTGGGTCTATGTAACCTGTGGTAGTGGCAAGACTGGCAAAACTGGCTATGGCAAAGACCATGGGTGAGACAATATGGAGAAATCTCTTCTTCCACAGGCAGAACAGAGAGAAGGGGTTTGGAGCGAGTGTTTTCTTTCCTAGGCAAGAACACATGGGACTTCTGCATTATGGAAGAGACGCTTGGCTGAAAACTGCGATTTGTTGTTTTCAGATACCCTACAGTGCAGACACAACTAAGCTAAGAAAGCACAGCCACAGTTCTTCAAGGATGGACAATGGGATAAAAGCAAGTTTCTCACTGAAACATATTGAACATTGAAACAAACAGCCCAGCCACTTTCACGGGAAGCTGAAAGCTTTAGGAGGAGATAGCGAGGATGCCCTTGATGCTGTTGCTAGGCAAGCTTCAGGGAATCCCTGCATGTAAAGGGAAAGGGCTACTAATATCACACAGCAGCACTTCTTTCTGACTACTTCAACCTGCTGTCTCTGTAGCCAGAGAACACAATCCATAAACAACCCTCAGTTCCGGATTCAGACATATCAACAGCCCATGGCTTGACCCTTCAATTTGACAACCCATGACTTAATTAAGCAATGCTGTCGCTACATATGAATGTGCACTGACCTGCACAAACAAGAACACCTCTCACCAACTAAAAACAGAGCTTACCCATCACCCAAATTAAATACCTGAGGCAGAGATGTGAGTCGTGAAGCAACTCATATGATTTTCCCCTCATGCCTGTCAAGGTAATTGCAATAGCTGCCCACTTACCTCTAGCCTAAGGGCATTTGGCACAAATTCATCATTATTGTTCTCTTCTAGCCCCACATCTTCCCTCCCACCACCCAAAACTCTATCTTTTCCTAAAACATTTCTTACATGATTTGCCATCCAAAAGTCCCTGAACACCCACTCGCAATTCAACATTTCAGTCTTAAATTTTGAAATCTAAATTTGAACATAGATCAGGAGAGGGAGAGCCTCCAATAAAGTGTGGATTTCTACATGCAAATTCGACAGTTAGGTATATGGGGAAATATCATTTCACCTCTAATGTCAGTCTAGCTCTTTGCAATATCCTATTGATCAGAGACTGAGGGGTGTGGGGGAAGCACAAGCTGGGTGGGTGGAAGCCTAAACCATACAGGCAAACAGCCGAGGCATACCTGAAATCTCTTCTGGGTCCTTCTTGATTCCCTCTTCAGTTGCCATGGTGACTGCGGCTGTCACAGCAGGGTTCCATTCAAGCCCTTCCTCCACACTTTCCTCAGACACAGCAATTTGTGTGATGCTTCCTGCAGCAGGAGAAGAGACAAGTGAGGCTGCTACACTGCCAGGTCTGCCACACTAGCTTTCCCCTCTATACACACACACACTCTAGGCCACCCAGGCCCAATAAGAGGACAAGAAACAGATGGATTGGACCAGCCTTCCCCAGCCTGGGGGTTGTGGCTCGGCAGTAAAGCACCTGCTTTGCATGCAAACGGTCCCAGTTTCAATTCGCAGCACCTACAGGAGCAGCTTGGAAAAAAACCCACTTGAATCCCTGGAGAGCTGCTGCTAATGTCAATAACAGCAGGCTAGACAGACCAATGGTCTGACTCAGTATAAGCCAGCTTCCTTTGTTTCTCGTCTGGAAACCTGAAGGAATGCTTTTTCCCTTGTGTACCTGCCCAGATATTAAGATCTAGTAGGGCGTACACTCATAAAAGGGCTGCATTTCTCTTGGACTGCGGGCATTCTCAATATAGGCATCCTGACTTCAGAACTCCTATTCTCATTATACAGGGCCAGCACCACATCACAGAAGGTCCTGGTGCAACTAAAGCCTTACTTGTTCACCCAGACTTTTGACTAAATCTTGTAAACTTAGCTTAACTGTTTTTCTGTTCTCTCCTGCTATACTGTGTAATTGGTTGATGCTATATTGTTTTATTCTGTTTTATTTTTACCCCACTTGGGGATAGTTTTATAATGTAAAGACAGAATAAGCTATATAAATTGACAACATCTACCTATTGAGAGTGATATATAAATATGTCTTGTACATAATATCATTAAACTTTACGCCAAAGCTATACAGTGACAAAATATGGGTAAGAGATTTTGGAGAGTTCCCATGCAGAAGTTCTAATGCACCAGTTAAAAATGAACAAGTAAACAAAAATATTCTCCATAAATAAGAACAACATGTGGTACAGCAACTGAGATTACCACACTGCAGTCACTGGAATCACTTCTCCCACCTCCAGCCCCTCTGGGTGTAGGATACATGCATGAAATCCAACATTAGGTCTGAATTATATGATCAACATCCCACATACATCATTGGAGAAATTACTGCACAGTTTAAACCTATGGACATGCAATTTTACATTTGCATAATGTCTGCAAATCTTGCACCTAAATGCAGACATCTGGCATGCTTGGAGGTGGGAAAGATGCATCCAAGAAGGCGCTGGGCTGGATGAGTGAAGCCAGAAAATGCATGATTTTGCTTCTCTGTGTATAAATGGCTGTCTGAACTGGCCTTGATGTAAGGTTAACAGACGGCCAACTGGATCCATGGTAACCAAGGATTTGCTTCAAGGTTCTTAAACGGAATGTGACCATCTCTAGCATCACCAACACATAAAGCATTGGACTAATGCAGTGTAAAGGCAAAAAGAAATCTAAGAAAAGGTAAGAAATTTCAGTGAATAATGGATTTCAGCATACAGCTTTTATGTGTTTCATCAGCCTACAGAAAACTGAAAACACTATAACAAAAAGTAGTAATATATATACAAGAAGACAGAATCAGTGCCCGCTGTGAGCTTTATGTCATGTTTAACTAGAAGTGATGAGAGTTCTCATCACTCGCAATTGGGAATTTATGATGAACACATTTTGACCTAGTCTGAGTCTTAAGATGTGGTGGGCTATAAATGAAATGAAATCTAAATATATGTTAAGGAAAACCACTGCCTACTCAAAAGTAAGTACCACTGAGAGCACCAGGACTTAATCTCAGGAAGTTCAGTGACTCCACATAGGTGGCAAGTGAAATGTTGACAATGTAATAACAGCTTATTATTATTTATCTTTGCAAGTTTAAAAATGAACATACTTACATTTTTGGCATCATTCATTAGAGAATGCTCAGGGCCATGTGTATTATTTCAGTTCACAATCACACAGCACAATGGTAGAAGTTAACATTAGGTATATTAGTATCAAAGCACCCTGAAAAATCTCATCTTCCTCGCTGCAAGTTTCTAATTCATATGTATAATTTATATACAACTTCTGGCAGTATCATAAACTAGCTGGTAACCCAAGCAGGATGTCAATTGTTCAGAAAGTTGGACTATAGTGCTCTGAATAACAATTTGCCCTTTCTTACAATCACCAGGAGCTGGGGATTCATCAGAATAAGCAAATATTTGCAAATGCATGATTTTTACAGGGTACAGAATCCAGCATTTCTTAGCCCAGAAATGGAACTACGCTGACACAATATTGATTTTTAAAGCACGGTATAAGGTTTAACCCACATATTGTATAAATCAGCCCTGAATTTTAGCACTAGCCTGACAGCCATGGATGAGAAACAATTATATGCAGGAAAGTGCACGAACTACATGCAGGTGAATGAGAAGGATGGAGTGCTTTCCCCTGGGTCCACCACATTAGTTTGCACAGACTAACAGATCTGGCCACAAACCAATCGGGAGGAGGAGTACAGTCTAAAGGTCTCTTTTCTCCAACATAGCAAGATCCCACAACAGACAGATAGGTGGCAGGGATGGAGCAGCATGGGTTCTTCAAAAGTTTACAACTCTGGTCCTTTCCCAATTTGCAGCTCTCTCCCTGGAGATACAGGTGGACCTGCCCAAGAAGGTTTTCAAGAAAGAGGAATTGGAAGAACAGATATTGGGGAAATGTTCTATGGGATCTAACAAGGAAAGACAATGAGGGGAAATGACAAAAAGCAATGCCAAAGCAGGAATGAATTCTGCTTCTGTTCACCTGTTCCCTACCGTCAGCAGAGGTGGGGGTCTGCACCAAGCTTTGTTGGCCTGGTACTGGTGCCCTGGCACTGCTGATCAGGAGGTCAAACTTGGTACTGCGACAGGTGTTTGTGCAAACCTTGTCATGCTGGTAAAAGTCGATTTGGCCTGAGTCCATCATCTTTCTGCACAAAGAATGAGAAACAGAGATTCATGAGGGCCAAAATACATTTGGATATTTGCCTAAAGAGAAAAAGCAAAAGCTTAAACAGTTTTGGCATGATGAATCAGTTAACACTCAGTACTGTGCACACTGTGGACTTTTGTTAGTCTCACAATACAGTGGCAGGATTTGGTATCAGGTGTGTTGTTCAACATCCTGAGAAACTCCTATTTTTTTCTTGTACGTTTCTGGTCCATAGGGATGCACAGGCAGGTTGAAAGCATGTGGACAAAATTGCAGGATTTGACAAAATTGCCGAAGCTAAGCAGGACCTTCACTGCTTTTCATAACTTTGGGCTCTCTCCTATGAGAAGCAGAATAAATTAATAAGCATTTGTAAGTGATGGGGCAGCTTGTCCCCACAGCAGTATCCAAAGTGAAAACTCCTTCAAGTTATTCATTGCCTCTCAACTGTACAGCCCGTATTTTTCCTCAAGACACACTCCTGATGCCTTCCTTGACAGGGCCACTCAATTGCCAGTGTTCAGTTCTGTCCAAAAGATGTTTATCTTGAACTATATGACGCCAAACTCTTGGCACCACTTTTAGCCAGCAAAAGATGAAAGATGCAAGAACAAATGGGTGCAGTGGGGAAAAATCCAGCAGTGGATTTTTATCATTATGGCTACGCTAGTGGAAGGACATTACCTCAGCATGATTCCTCCCAGGCGAATGGCTCGCTTCCAGTCCTTCAGGGTAGCTTTGCCAGCTAGATGAACAAAGTGCTTTGGGCTGATAAGCTGATCATTGAACTAAGAAACAGATAAAAGAGGGCATCTCATTTCTCAGATGAACAGGAGATACTCCATCTATCCAGCTCATAGTCAGCAGGACTGCCCCCATTAGTCACAGATGCACACGGCCAAGTCATGCCAGGACCTTGTGACTTCAACTTCTGCATAAGAAACTCAGGTATCCAATGCCAGTAGCTCTCAACTTTTTCAGAACCAGAGCTTGGGTTTAACTAATGGAACAGATGGTTGTGAGCCAGTCTACTCCCCATCTTTTAAGCAGGGCAGAAGGCTTTCTATTTTTTTTATTAGGTTAAAGCAGGCCAGCTAGGCTGGCTTTCTGATACAAAAAATAGTGCAAAAAAAGACACTAGCAAAGTTAGAATACTGACTATTAGAGAAATGCTGCTTAATGATAACAAAGTTGATTCCAAACAGAATACTTCTCCCACCCTCCCAACCAGAACAACTTCAAGGTGGAACCCGTTACTTTTGGGCCAATAGCCTGGAACACCTGACATTTCTCAGCTGGTTTGACCCTCTTAACCTGACACTGTATAATTCAACTGTAATGTTAAGTCTGCCCCATATCCATCTCAGCTCCTCCGAATTCCGCCCCAAGCCTGAAACTGGCTGGTTCTCAGCAAATTCTCTCTGGGTCCTCTGGCCTTGGCATTTCAACTGCAAATTCCTATCCCTCCTCTTTATCCACTCCTGATTCAGAATCCAAATCTGTAACCTTTGAAGCCTGCATTACAGGAGGAATGGCCCCAATCCCTCCACAGATCGATCTTGTTTTTCCATCAGATTTAAGAAAGGAACTTTAGAGATCTTGTACCCTGACAGTGACACCAAAGAGGGAATTTTGCCAGCTGCAGGTTTCCCTCATCCGACGTGACATGCTGCACTATCGAAATTCTGCCTGTAACACCATTATGAAAAGCCTACCATTGGCTTCAAGTCATCATATGCAACTTCCAGGATCAGAGGCTGCATGTCTCTAAGTACCAGTTGCTGGGAGGCAACGGCAGGAGAGGGCGATTCCCTCACGCCCTGCTTGCAGGCTACGCCACAGTTCATGGTTGGCAACAGTGGAAAACTGGGCTGAAGAGGCCTTTGAACTGATTCGTCTTGCCTCCCTCACACCTGATCATTCCCAGTTTTTCTTCTCTTAAAATGCAAAGTAAAATTCTGATAATGCCAATTTTCCTCATGCAGAAAGAGTTTTTCCTCTGTGTGGGGACAGGCAACTTGGGTGTGGGGCAGAATGGAATGGGTTAGCATTAGATGCAGTCTCCCCTCTCCCTGGGCCAATCCAGGTTTGACCCACCAGCACCAGACATACAAGAATATACAATTAGCGCATTTCAGGCTCCTGGTCACCTGAAACTGAAGTGTGCCTGTCTGACAATGAACAGAGAGTTAGGCTGATTTTATTTGGTGACTGTGTCTTCGGCTTTCCATTGGTCAGCCCCATGGTGCACCAGAAAACCAATAAACTTGGTTGGGATGCCAGACTGACTTCAGCACTGCTGAAGGATATGATGCCTGCGCGGTCCCGTACTGGGATACGCAATTTCTGGCAGAAGCTGACTGTCCAGTGTAAGGAGCTGTTTGGGAATAACAACAGAGGTTTATCAACAAGTTGGTTCAAGACTCCCAAGCTACTCAAATGTGCCACAGATAGGTCCTTAGAAGAGGAACCTTGCTGGGTCTCCCAAGAATGCCTTTCAGAGAGGTGTAAAAGCAAAATTTCCAGCTCTGCCTCCTGAACCAGCAGAGCTAAGTCTATTGCTAGAAGGCCTACTTGTTTCAAATAAGCCTCCAGTGGAAATTCCAGTGAAAGAAGAAAGATTAAAAGTGCTAAGAAGAGTAGACAAAGCCACACAGAATGAAATGAGGAGAGCTGGCAGGTGGCACGGACAATTTCACTGCACCGTTACCTTGACACACTTGACGTTGATCCCTGGGCAAACAAATTTCTTCCAGAGCAGAATGGCTTTACTCTCTCCACACGTGATAGGATAGGCAATCTCAATTTCTTCATTGGTTTCAATCGTGCTGGGATCTGCAGATGGAAGCAGGTGAACAATGGATATCATTCTTCCAGAGAGCACGAGTCATGCATATGATCTCAAGTCAGACCCTTGGTTCACCTAGACCCGTGACCAGCAGTGGCCCAGCAACATCTCTAGCCCTCCACCCTGTTAAGTGAGCAAAGATGCCAGGACAAACCCAGATTGAATCCCTACTGCACACAAGGGATTAGTGAAGCTACAGTGTCTTCCTGCAAGACAGAAGCATAATTTCTGCTTTGTCTAAATGCAGACATCTGCACAAGCCACAGGTAGATGCATTCAAACAAAATATTCAACTATAACATTTATACAAAGAGTCATGCAGAATCAGACCAATGGTCTATTTCTTCTAGTATTTTATTCACATTCTGTTCTCCCTTAGCTGCTTGTGAGAAACATATCAGTTGGAAGGTGAGTGCAAAATCACCCCCGCTCATGTTTCCCAGCACACAGTCTCTGATACTAGAGATATGCTAAAGTCTAATAGTCATTGGTATACTTCTCCTGTGTGAATTTGGGCAATTCCCTTTTAAAACCATATAAATTAGCAGTGAGCACTCATCCTGTGGTAGCAAATTCCATAGTTTGAGCAATCAATCTGCGATGATGTACTTCCTTTTAACTGTCCTAAACCAACATGACCAAAACTCTGTTTTCATACTAACTGAAAATGGAAAAATTTATTCTACTGCTCTTGTGCATGAAGGGAGCACAGATGCACAAACCCCATCCCCACCTAGTCTCATCATCACAACCCACAGTGTGTCATTATATCGAAAGTAAGCTCCACTTAAAATAGACATCATGCCCTGTCAAAAATCTTGTTTGAACTTGAGGCTTTGGAAAACATGGTCCTCTTGCTCCTACTCTTGAGATGCTAGTCACAAATAACAAAATTATGCTAAAGAAGTAGGAACAAAACCCCCAAAATTCAACTATAAGGACTCACTTGACTTGGCCTCAGACTTCTTCAGTTACAACCTGCTTCACCTTGGTCTGAAGCAGAGCATCACTTTAGAAATCTGAAGCTTTGTGTATTTCCCCATTGACTATCTTGGAGAATTGCTGGAGGGGAGAAGGCCATCAACTCACTGAAGGGCACCTGTGAGAACAGGGTCTTTAGTGGGGCATCCCACAACCTCTGCTCCAGCTGCTTTCAGAGGTGCATGCTTTTTCCCCACCTTAAGCAAACCATTGGAGGAAGAAACACTTGCAACCCAAAAGATGGCTGGTGGAGGGAAAAAAGCCCACTCCCCTAACAATATATATCCTCACTGTCAGCAGGACAGCTCTGATAGTCCTTTTATCAAGGTTGCTTCAAAGCTTTGGAGAGCTCAGAAGCTTTCTGAAATGGCTCACTCTGGCTTTTCAGGTTTTATCCAAGGTAGATGAACACCCTTATGAAGCAACGTATCAGCACTCTGACTCACCAATGCCTTCTTCAAGCTTGTGTATCGTATGTGTTTCCACAGCCACCACAGCCGTACTGGTCTCGGAGCCTTCTTGATAAATCCTGTTATAAAAGTACCCATCCATAAACAAGGGAGGCTTGCCTGGCCTTTACACTGTTACCTTATTATTTATTTATTGCATTACTAACCTACCCAATAACTAATGTGGGTAATTTTTCAGTACCAACCTATTTTTTCCCAATGTTTAAATTGTTGAACTGTAAATATTTTGTTGCTGCCAGTGTTTATCCACTGTTTCAAGCTTATCAATATTGTTAGTACTTAGATAGATCTCTTATTTATTGCAGTGCAAGCTATCCTGAACATCTTTCATAATGTGATGCAGAAATGAATTTTTAAAGTTAAAAGAAATGAGTTTCACATCCAGAGTTCATGCATTCTTGGGAGAATTTCCTAGCCTAGGCTGACATTTTGCAGATCGATAATCTAATCCTTCTAGGACACTGATACCTGTAGATTAATAAACAATGCTCCCTAATTTCAGCCACTTATCCTTTGCTGTTCTTTCTATAAACCAAACATGCCCAAGCCAAAAAATATTCCCCCCTCCAATCTGCATAGCACTGAAGAAAAAGAGGAAGAAGAATAAACCAATGTTAGCTTTCTTTAAAAAGCAGGATAAACACAACATGCTTGCAATTTATTTCTTCGCCAATCTCTTAAAAGACACACATTGCCTAAATTCAGGTTGACTTGTCATATCATCACTTTCTTCAACATTCAAACAGAAAGCCACAAGTGAAGTGGGCATAGCTATAACTTCATTTTCTGTTTCCAACCCCAACACACTATGCTAAGATGATCAGTTATCTTAAAAGGATGAACTACAAATGTATTCTATAGTCAACCTTCACATGTTTGAAGGCTGTCACAAAGGTAACAGACAAGGGCTTTTTGTTGCTTCACAGGGTAAGACCCCAGTCAACAGTGAACAATTATAAGAAAGGGAATTTTGACAAATCATTCTGACTTTACAAGCTACTTGAGATGGGAAAAGGCTGCTTCTTAGGCAGTGGACTCCTTTGCTAAACAGTTTAACATATATTCAGAATGGCTGCTTAACAGTGATGCTGTAGCAGCCGATCTCCTGCATTGGCAGAAGATTGACTGCATGACCTTTGATGTCCCTTCCAAATTTATAACCCTAGGGAGTCTGTCCAAATATGAAAGTGAAGGCAGAGATTGCATCCATGCAACACAGAGGTCTTGCTCTCTCAGCTCCAAGCATATCTGAGCCATAAAGAGAAGAAACTCTGCTGGAATTCCTTGTTCTACACAACTGATAACAGAGGAAACCCATCTTCCTTTAAATCTGCATTCTGAACTTTCACTGGAACAATGCTGAACTTGCTTGCTCAAAACAGTACAGTGTACATACCCTTGCTGTACTGGTTGCAGCTGTAGGATCACCTGGGTTTTGGTATCTTCTGGGTTTCCTCCTTCATTTCCTTCAGTTGGCACAACGACTACATCCCCTACAGGGATGCTTACTTCAGCATTTGCCATTTGCGCACATTAAGTCCAAGAGGCCGGCTGACGAGTGTGCTGCAGTGTGCGATAAACAAGGCAATATTGGGTTGTTCTTACTGTTTGACAAAGAGAGAGAGGTTGCCATTTATGGCCACAGAACTGTTGTTAGTTACACAAAATGAGCACAACCATAAGAATAAACTGAAAGTATAGATTTATGATGGATCGCAGAAATCATGCCTGATCAACATTGGGACATTTCCCAATGAACTTGGATTTGCACTCTCTAATCTCCCTACTGCTCCCAAATTGGCTGATCCGTTACCTGAGCAGACTAAAGTGTGGCTGACATTGGCTTACATGCAGACTTGTTTGTAAATTATTTTTCCATATCTATATCTTTCTTATGAGTCCTTTAATACGCCTAAAAACTACAGAGACATTCCCTTTTTTGTCAAATAGCAGGAACCAGTTTTTTTTAAGGTGAGACTGACTGCTGCTCACTGCAGAACTATTGTTTTGCCCATAAGCTAATGTAATCCACTAATAAAACAACTAAGGATGAAATCTTATACACACGTAGTTGGAGCAATATTCACTGAACTCAGGGCAACTTATTTCTAAATAAGCCTACACAGGATTGCTCTGCCCAATATCTTTGATCAAGTAATAACTCTCTAAAGCAATAAGCCATATCATACACTATATGATATGGCAGAAGACAACGATCCATTTGCTCCCACTCCTACAGAAGTATTTAAAATTATCTTATAGAATAACTAACTCCTGGAGAACCCAGGTACCTCTTGAGCAATCAAAGACTAAGATTTGCCTTGACCTTCGTTCTGCTCTTTCTCCCAGCAGCATCAAAGGGTCAAGGGGCAGCAGGAAAGAAAAGTCCACTTTTCTACCCAGTATCAACTTACTGACATTCAGGAACTACCCCAGAAGTAAAATGGGTGCACTGGTAGGAAAGACAAATTTCTACGGCTTTCCTTAGTTACAAAGAAAGAACAGATGAGGAGCCTTGCTGGATCTGACCAATGACCCATCTCCAGGGTAAGCCACCTGGTGCCTCCCAGTTGTTTTGGATTCCAGCTCCTACTGGTGCTGCTCCTGGGAGCTCTAGTCCAACCTCTGGCAGGTATCAGATTGCCTGCTCCTGAACATCCCGTTTCCTAGCTATAGTCAAGCCAAATGCCTCCATGAAGATGATACGCAGCAAATGAAGATAATATCCTTATCCACCATTATTCCCTGGTAATGTGTACCCAGAGGCATCATACCACTAGACCTGGAGAGTAGATGCAATCATTACCACTTATGCATATCGATACATCGTTCCTGAATGAATTTGTCTAAGTCCCTCTAAAAATCATCTGAGCCAATATTGTAGCTCTGAATTCCACAACTTAAGTCCTGTAAGAAGACTTACACTTTTTTGTCCGTGAAACACAGAGTTGAATGAATCAATCTGAAGGTTTGATTTTTACATCATTTGCAGGGAACAAGTCCTTTAAGGGGCAAAAAAAAATGTCAGTTGTCAGGATGAAATAATGAGATTCTACCCAGTATCAACTTATTGACATTCAGGAACTACCCCAGAAGTAAAATCATTGTATAGGCTAGTATTATGCATATTCCCTAAAAAGCAAATCCCACTTAGTTCAATGGGATTCCCAAGGTTCCCAAGGACGTTATCTGTCAAAGTACTCCAGGCCAAAGTATTTCCATCCTTTATTCCTTTTTAAATTACTACTATGTTTTTGTTTTACTCCTTTCATTCTTCTTTCCTACCTTGGTGCAAGATCATAACCAGTTCTGCATTATCACATGGGCCATAAACTTTCATGAGCACCAGATGTCAGAAATGTTAAGGAAGAGATTGCAGCTACAGCAATCTTTGGAAAGTGGTCCATTTTCTGAAACTGCAATCGCCAGCATTCCCATCAATATGCACCAATTAGCATTGCAATGTTATTGACATTTTAAGGGAGGATGTTGTTATGTAGGTCACTGCCTTTATTGGTATCTAATCAAGAAAACAGCTCTTTTATAATATTGTATAATTTACAAATAAATACTTGCTTGCCTTTTTCAGCTTTTTCCCCCACCATACCTATTTTAGAGATGAATACTGAAGCAAGGAGGAAGCATTAATCTGACTACCCAATGATCCTATTTACGATATTGTATCATATATCTAATGCTAACCACTGAGCGACTGACCAACACCACTTCCTATGGCAGCAAATTCCATAAATTGATTATGCATTATATGAAGTACTCTATATCATATACTTAACGGATAGTTCTTTTATATTTTGTACAATATTACTACTACTAATAATGCCACTGCTAGACATTTCCAGCATATTTATTCTATGTTTTGTAGTTTTTGTAATTTTGCACCTTAACTTCTTACTCCGATTGATTTGCACTGTGAGAAGGGATCAGCTTTTCCATGACAACCTCCTCCTCTTTTAACACAGCACCAAGGCAGGCACTGATACAATGGGTAACACTCCTCCAATCCACCAGGAAACTTCAGTGATATGAATAAGCGTTTTGCATTTCAGTTTGTGCTGCAGCTGTTCAAAGCACAGCTAGCCCTGTCTTGAAATTAAGATGTAAAAGACACTACATTCAAGAGGTGAAGTTTGTTCTTCCCAGCACACAAAGGAATGCTTCAGTGACAGGAAGCCTGATAAACTCCTGCCTGTCATAAATTCTAACGTTCAAAAGGCGTAATCATTCTGGAAAAAAAAGAATTAAATGGCACGTTCAACAGCTGACACTTGCCACACGCACAAACATGGAGCACTTCAGCCAGGGGAAAACCTCCTGGCCTGTCATGCACACGTGTTAAAAGCATCATAGTCCTGAGAGGGAAAGAACATGCAATGGATGGCAAGTTCAACCAGCAGAACTTGCTCCACGCATGCAGTAAGGAGAACATTTCGGCGATGGAGAACCTTTTTGAATTCCTGAAGCAAAGTACGAGGCAAAGCGGGCTGCATCCATGAAGGAGGGGGAGAACCAAAAATGGCCAAGCGCCGGATTGCTTCGCCAAGCATGGGCCGCCCCTGCTCTGACGGGAGCGCTTCCGAATTGTCCCGCGATCACTACTACTACTACTATTGCCCTCGTTTGCAACAAGTTTTGCTGAGGAGGGGACCCCCCCACCAAGCGCGACTTCCGCCAGACCCATTTCGGCCCCCTCAGGCCCCCTCAGGACCGAGGAAACAGATCGGGCGGGGCTCCCCGGAGGAGGGGTGGGGCTTCCTCGGAGCCCCACCCCCTCCCTCGCTGCAGGCCAGACGCAGCGTCCTCCTCCCTCCCTCCCTCCCTCCACCAGCCCCCCCGCGGCGGCGCGGCGACGTCCGCTCCCCCGGCGGCGGCACGTACAGCGGCGGTAGCGGCCGTGCGCTCGCTATACGCAACCCCCTCCCTCCTCGCCACGCACTCCGCGTCCATGCCTGACCCCTCCCGGCTCCCGTAGCGCGGCGGCAACGGCAGCAGCAACATCGCCCTCTATTCCCTCCCCCCCTTACCGTTTCCGAGCGGCCGAGTCCGGAGCTGTAGGGGGGGATGGGAGGAGGGAGGGAGCATGCGCACGAGCGCCACAACTCGGCCGCCAACACTTCCGGCCGCCTCCTGCCTTAAAGGGGCCGCGGGCAATTAGCGCCTATTAACCCTATTTCTCACGCTGGTGTCTGGGATATCCTGTATGGGACTTGGGCTCGATTTTGAGGAAGAGAGTTGGGTTTGCCGCCTTGCTTTCTCTATCCGGGGTGGGGAGGGAGAATCGTCTTTCCCCGATGCTGTTCCACCGGAGGTCTCGGCTTTGCTATCCTCATCATCATCTTCATCTTTGTATCCCGGCTTTTTTCCTCTTGGCAGGAGCCCACGGTGGCTCCCAGGCGCCTTCTCTCCAGTTTATCTTCACAACAACCCTTTGAGGGAGGCTTCACTGAGAGTCACTGACTGACAGCCAGGATGGAGGGCACTTGTGTTCGCTGCCTCTCCCAGGACAGAAGAAGCGACCCTGGGGCCTTAGGAAGGGGAGCGTCGTGGTGGGGAGAGGAGACTGGAGAGCCAGGATATACATGATCCGACACTTCTGTCCTTACCCTGCTCTGCAGGGCATCTCGTGAAGGGCAGGAGATCGGAGAGTGGGGAGGTGACGGGGCAGGCTTCTTTTCAAGGGCTGACATGAAGACGATCTGTTCTCTAGTCCAGCTCTCCCCAACCTCAGCATTACAAATGTTTTAGACCAGTTCCAAGATGATGTTAGGAAAGGAGAGCAGAGCAGGGACCTGAAAGTTGCCTGTCTTCAGATAGCCGACTGAACAGGCCCTCCGGTTGCTCACTTCCCCGGAATGACACTGTATTTATAATATATTCTAAATCTGCATCTATGCACATTTAAATATAATAATTTCTAAATGTGCATCTGTGTACATTTAAATATGCACATTTTAGGCAACTCTGTTCCCTTTCATCCCCCCTTTTGGTGACAAATTTACTCTCAGATACATAAGTAGTCACCTACACGACTTATAACTCTGAGTTAGAAGCTGTGTATAGACAGTTACAGAGGGATTGTAAACAGGTCAAAGGAATTAAAGTACACAAATATTAATACTGCAAGTATGCTCTGTTCAAAGTAGCAATTAATGCAGTAAAAATGTCATGAAACCATATTAATTACATAGACGCAAACCCATTAAGGGCTGCATTTGGGAGTAAGTGCCAATAGGCCTAGTGAATGGGATTTACTTTGTGTGTGTGTGTGCTATAAGGCTTCCCCTGCAATAATTATTAATAATTATTATAATTATTAATTACATTTTCTACACTGCCCATAGCTGAAGCTCTTTGGGCAGTTCACAGCATTTAAGTCACCCATCCAGATTTGAACCAGTTCTGACCCTGCTTAGCTTCCAAGATCAGGCACTTCAAAGTTTTTTTGAGAGTAAAAGCCTGTTAAATTTGTTAAATATTCATATATGTAAATATGCATGTGGAGGAGCTACAGTCCTAGGCACATGGTGGAACTTACTTCTGAGTAAATGCACATAAGACCAGTCAACACTGTTGCACTCTTATGCATGCTTGCTTGGAAATAAACCCCCAAAAGTAACATACCTCTACTTAGATAAACAGGATTTGGCTACATGGCTTCTAAGTACACTTACAACATAAGTGTGTATAAATATGCCTCAGCTTCAGAACAGATTAGGTTATTAAATCATAGACTGTAGTTGGTTTAATATTTTAGCTTGTTCTAAAGCCAGTAGCCCTTTTCTCCAGTTTACCTGAACTCAGAAATGTAGGTTAATTAGAGGTTTCTAAGTACATTTGTGTGTGCCCGAGATGTGCTGCATGCAAAGGCTAAAGAATCATTCATATCATTATTCAAATGCAAACAACCTGATTCACACCAGTTTTTACATCCCAAACAATGGATGATAGACAAAACAAATGTGATCCACATCTTTCAAACAATCACTTCAAATGGTTATAAAAACATATGTCACACCGGTTATTAATGAACACAGTCCAGGTTATCCATCACATAGGTCTGTATGGTGGATGTTCCATGGGGTTATATGAACCCAAGCTCACCCTTCCCAGTTTTTTGGCTCAGTGGGATGCCAGCTGATGGTCTGCTCCATCCCTCTTACTCACACATTTTTCCAATCACACTATTAGCATCCAACTTGTAGATTACAGGGTTCAGTAAATTAATGTTACATATATCATTTTGTAAGTTTGATAATAGAATAATAATGCATGTAATTTGCATTGGTATAATGCCCAGTAATTTATCTGCAGCAATTATACTCATCTTCCTCATATACATTCATTGGCTTGGCTTGCCTTTGCCAGTGAGGCAGAGGGGATGAGTGCCTGCCCTTGTATGGCAGAGGCAAAGCTCCTTCCTGTTGGGGGTACAGGCATGCTATTAGAGCAATATACTTCAGGCCATGATCCGGCATGGAAGTGTTCCTGCCCAGACTCTGTGCTGTTCAGGCCTGCCCCCACTTCCGTCCTTTTTCTGACTATCTGGGGTGTCCCACCAGCATCTCTCTCATGATGGCACATCTAGCATTTTCATGATGTAGAGATCAACATGTACAGCTTCTCAGCCACTCCATACTGATGTACAGGGTAGCCGCCTTATTTTGGCAGGAGCTTTCTCTGAGCTAGGACCCACCTCTGCAGATACAGCAACTAGCAAATATACATACATGCATAGGCCTAGAACACAGGTGAGCATCTCACAAGCGACATGTGTCCCTTGGTTGGTGTCACTGCAGCCTGGGAGTGAGATCTAACAAAGGCCATGGAACAGAGAATCAGTCCTGTCATGTTTAGCTTGGAGATCCTTCCCACAAGGCATTGCAATTGGACAGCCCTAGTAAAACCTTTCCCTGATTACAAGCTACACCTGCCTGCCACAAACCCACAACCCTCCTTTCTCACTCTCCACCCTGGTATTTTCCTTATATATGCATTTAATTTATATATTGCTGCCATATTTAAAATTAGAAAATTGAATACAGTATGATACACATTAAAATACAATTGAAACACACAATTACTAAAACATTAAGAAGAACACTGACACAAGTGCAATACCATCATTAAAAGAAACAGCACACTTACTGGGGGAACGCCATCACGAAGAAGCAAGCCTTTTGTTGGTGCCTAAAGCATCCTGCATTTGGCAGCTCCCGAATTCTAGCAGGAAGGTTATTCTATAAGGCAGTCGCTGTCATGAAGAAGGTCTGCTTATTCTGAAAAATTTAAGAAGAAATGGATTGGCGGCAAGACACCCAATCTATGTCTCCAAATCCTTCCAAAATCCCAAATATTGAGGAATGTTCAACCTTAGCTTCAGTCCATTTCAGAGGCATTCTCCTTGTTTCAAATATTTGCCTAATTTGTCTAAATCAACCCAGTTTAATGGTGGATTTGGCAAATTCTGAAGCACACCTTTAACAAACTACATGGAGTTCACCATCCTTCCACATTAAAAAAAAAAATCTACAGGTTACTCAAGATTTTCAGCAACATCTAAGATTTTAGCACTGTAACAAATGGAGGTCAAAAATCCTTGCTGATTATTGACAACTGCCCAGAGATCTACTAATAGATCTGGGTCTTTCCTTCTGTCCAGCACTGCTTTAAAGTCCGACAAGAGTTGAGGTAAGCAATGCTTTGGTCCCCTATGATTTTGGGACTGCAGAAAGTTCTCCTCACCTTCTGCATGCCCGTAGACAGACGAGAAGATCCAAGCATCGATCCTCCTTCCTCTACTATCTCCCAACTCCCATGGAAAGCTTACAAAGTGGCAATTGTGACCTTGTAAAAGCAATTGGAGAGCAAGAAAAGGGATAGTGCTGGGAGGGAGCAAGGAGAGTTGATGATGTACAAGATCATGTCCCTTCCTCAGCACCCAAAGGCAAGTCAGTTAGATGGGCTCAGAGGTATGGTGGCAAATTTGTCCCATTCCTTCTTCTACCTTGACTTCCTCTTGCCACCTGGGCATAAAAGAAGGAGGCCCACAAGAGCCCTCTGTCAACTGAGAGCACAACCCTTAGAACTGCACCCTTAAAGGGCTCCTCAAAGAATTTTCACCAAATTCCTTGACCACCTGGTGGCGCTACAAGACCATCTGGTGTGCTGGATGTTAGCAACATCTGTTTATAGGGAAGAAAAGTGCTAAGTCCTTAAACACGGTTGTTCGAATAGGTACTGCCAACTGTTAGAACTTCTGGAGCAGGTCTCTTTTACTATAAGATGCCTGGATCCTGATAGATTATTTCTCCCTTTTGCATCCCACTTGGTTGCCTGAGTTCCCAAAGAAGGAAAGTGATGTTAAAAGGAGCAAGGGCTGCCTGCATTGACTTTTTCTAGTCTTTGGTGCTCTTAAGCACCTACAGAATCCTAAAGGGTGACATGTCTTAGAGACTCCCTGTTCTCTGTGCTGCTGGGATGGGCCGCACGAAGGACTGGCACCAGGACCAGCCATCCAGAGGCAGCTGCCAACGCGCCGGCAAGTCCACTTGTTCCATCGTTTAATTTTTTTCTGGCCTAGCTTCTTTGGCCTCTTTTTCATTTCCCACAATGCTCCTCAAGCACAGGTGGGCAGAGGGAGGTGGTGCACCGTTTGTGCCCAGCAGGCCACAATCCTGCCACACTGCCTCCCTGCAGGTGATTGAATTCTCTCTTCTTTTCAACAGGAGAGGTAGCTCT